GCGGGTGCTAACTAGCTTTGCATTAGAAATTTGCATTAGGAGCCTGGTCGTTTCTGTTAATAGCCTGGAAACAAAAGCCTTATAGACAGAGAACTCCCTGTGCAGTCAATTTGACGGCTTTTAGTTTTGGAAGCGTTTTGGTCTTTCAATGTTTGTGTCTTTTTCTTTATCCATGTTGTTTATTTCTATGGAATTATATGTATGACATTTTTGTTCTGAAAAGTGAGTAGTTCCAAATGAATGGATAGTTCGCATGTAAACTTTTTGGTTGGTTGCCAACCAACATTATATGATAGTTATAGCTCCTTTTCTCCAAAGTGCTGGTTCCAGACTGGTTCTGGACTGGTTCTGAGTCAGCTTGGTTTTTAACCAGAAAATAAGTGTAAGTAATATTAACAAGTAAGGAAACCCAAATTTGTTGTGGTTTTGTTTGTCTTTTTGTATTACAGTAGGGAGCACTCACATATATACATAATATTAAAAATAATATAGAACATGGAAATGACCACAATTGCTATTATTTTTTAGCTATTATTGTGACCTGAATTATTTTGATTATCAATTGAGTAAAGCATGTTGACATCCTATTGATACTTTGTGTGGTTGTTAAAGTAATGTGGAGAAGCATGTGTGAAGGCTGACACACATCACTGTAGGCCTGTTACATCTTTATGACACGCTCTGTCTCCAGAAAGCTGTGGACGGACAGCAGACAGGCGGGGTGAGCCGTCTGGGGAGGGGGAAGTCAGCATGGGGTATATCCTTAACATCCAGAGCTACTTTCAGACTCGTCAGTGGTTCATCATGACATGCCTCACATTCCCCCATGGTCACAAATGATTAATCAAGGAAGAAATTCCAAATTGAAATGGTCAGAATGGAAAAAATCACAAAAATGTGATTTATAGTTATTAATAAAGTCTAAATATTGTATACTGTAAATCCACTCTATGTTGCTTATAAAGCAAGCCACAATTAAAATACTGTATATATGAAATTATTTAGGATGATACGTTATTGTCATTCATTCCCACATCAAAGACACAGAACAAAATGTTGTTGCACCCTGACTATATATAAAAAGGACCAGAAAAGTCATGTGAAAATATAATAGCACTGCTTTGAAAACATACATTTTACAAAGCAAAGGCTTTTGAAGATGTAGAACAGCCATTCCCAAAGTCAGTAACACCGCGGCTCCCTTATAAATCTGACGGGTCTGCGCGGCCCCAAGAAATAATAACCAAGAAGACAACGTCAACGACAGCCTATTTTTAAATAGGCTCTCATTATTTTATTTGGGGGAAATAGCCTCTGCTACAAACATGTAAATGATGCACCTCATTTTGTAATACAAAAATGATAATAATTTGATTATTCAAGTCAAATAATGAACACAAATATTTTAATGTTAAAAACAATATATTATTAATTTAACATAAAATACTTATATAAAACTTTTTTTTTTTTTTTTTTTTTTTATGACCTCTTGTGGCCCCCAGGGGACCGCGGACCCTACTTTGGGAGACACTGATGTAGAGAATGAGGGATCCGGTTGAACACCCTCCCTTGTATATAAATGGACAAAATGTATTCAATTTCTTGAATGACAGGAATGATCTCTCCCCATTTTAATTATAGTTTTAGATAGATAGATACTTTATCAATCCCCCGTTGGAGAAAATCAGGTGTCCAGCAGCAGAAGACTCACCCAGGTTTGTTGTACAGTCTGACAGCTGAAGGAACAAAGGATCTCTTGAAACATTCCGTTCGGCAGCGTAGTGATCAGAGCCTGTTGCTTCAATTACTCCTCTGAGCGGTCATAGTGTCATACAGAGGGTGTCTGGAGTTACCCAGGATGCACTGCATTAGAGCCCTCATCCTTCTCTCCAGCACAGCTCCGACGGAGTCCATACTTCTCCCCATCACAGAAACGCATTTCCTGATCATTCTGTCGAGCCGGTTACTGCCTCTGAGGTCAGACTGTCTCCTTCACGCGACCCCAAAAAACACAGCACTAGCTACAACATACTGGTAAAATATGTGCAACATCTGACTGCTCACATCAAAGGACCTCCGTCTTCTCTGAAGAATCTGCTCTGGCCTTTCTTATAGACAGCATTGGCCTGGGCTGAGAAGTCCAGTCTGTGGTCCAGGTGGACTCATAGGTATCTGTAGGACTGTACCACTTCGATGTCCTGTTCATTTAGTGTGACCGGTTGATGAGAAGGGCTCCTGTGAAAGTGTGTGTGTGGGCACGGCACACACGGGAGTGCGCATTGGAGTAAACGTGTGAGTCTGAGAAATGAATGAATGAGAATGAAAGAATGAAAAGTGTGGCGTACGAGCAGAGCAACCGAGCAGTTTACAAGTGAATGTTGGTGTGTTTTGGCCTCAAAATAAAGTGTGACTCTTGAATAACAGTTTGAAGCGGTTCGGAGCTAGAACGGGACGAAAGTTTGTAGCATTAAAGTGTGGATTTAGTAGAAAAGGATTTAACAAACAAAAAGTTCGGAATGACAACGGCTATAATAATCCCCACAAAATCCAACGTTTATGAAAACTGTAGGTTCTCTTTCAGCTGAGGTCGAGCTGTTTTAGTTTACATTGAGTTCTATGGGACAGATTTCCGGGGAGCCCACGTGAATTTAGTCCGCAGTGCCGCGGGGGCCCCGTGTGCCCATGGGTGGGGCAGCAATAATTAGCAATACCCTGTCCATTTACTATTATAAATCCATGGTAGAGACGTGGGTAAAAATGCATGTCACAGTGGGCGCAGCAGGAAGACGTTAATTCGATGCAGAGCATCTGGGCTTTACAACCGTGCTCAGGCCCACCACTTTCAACTGTGCCCAAGCACAATTTGAGCAACCATGCTCAAGCCCAGTTGCCGCAGTCACCTAGCACCTTAAGGCCTGGATCCAATCGCGATCTGGAGCTAGGCCCACTTTAACCAGGCTTTAGGTTGTGCATGTGACCGCAGCCTTAGAGTCTTAGCCTCTCAGCCTTAGAGAGATTTTATCACACTGTCTGTTTCTAGTGTTTTGAAATGTAGGTACAGCAGCGGTACAGTTCTAAATAATTCCACTTTTTTTTTTTTTGCAAATGTTTTCCATAATCATGCAGCCCTATTGAGAAATATGTACAATTCCTACAACAAGGTTGTGTATAAAAGCAAACGGCGTCTTCATGTGGATAACTACGGGCAGCAGATGGTCGGACAGTTTGACCAGACCGCGAGCACCGTACTTGTTAGCATCTATGTCCCTTTGGCCTTCATTTAGACATGGAGCACACAGTCTCCAGGGAAGGTTGGAGTCCGTGGCCGCCTGCTGAGTGAAAGAAGCCTATATGTTTTTTAATGAACGCGCGATCTGAGAGACTGCTCCGACAAAATGCTGCAACATACTCTGGTTTTAGTGAACACTCATGAACACATCCTCTGGCATTTTACACAGGGACTTTTAATCTCCCCGTCTTCTATTATTCAAATGCCAGGGAAAATAGAGGAATAAGCCCTTTGGCGCTGCGCTCGGTTAATTTGCAGGATAAACAAAACTTCCTTTTTGCGCAACGACTGAAAAAGAGTTGTAGTTTGTGTTCACAGTTAATATTTATTTGGAACAAAACTTTGGCCTGCGTGCCTGTATAATGGATCAAAACGAGTGTGTGTCATGGATGTTTTGTGTGTGTGTTTATTGTGTGAGTACATTACAATTATAACCTGGTCTAATGGCATATTCATTTGGTTTATAGGTGGCCTTCATGTGACATCCAGAACATTTCAAAAAGCCTTTACAATTCTTTCCTGATAACTACGGTAACTGTCAAATATCACTCTTAGTTTGTAGCTAATTTATCTGTAATTCATGGGCCAATTGACATGAAGAAACAAAACTGGCACAAAGTTAAACATCCTCTTAGTCAGTACATATCCTGATTATAAAAAAATATAAAACCAATGCATTACTATTAGGTTATCAGAGATGTATAATGGCATCGGTTCCTACGTTGCTTAAAACTGTGATTCATTTTGCACAATAGTAGTGTAGAAAAAACTGCATGCAACATAAACAAATTGTTAAGAAATTGTATGTTTATTAGCATATTAATGAAGTTTAGATGACTTTGGGTTGACCTACATCCGAGTGTGTGAAGTCTACAACTGAGATGTTGAAAGTGAAGTGAATTATTATCCGCCTTGTCCACATTGAGGTGTCTTGTGTGAGACTATGTGGCAAGAAGTTGTCCAACAAGAGGCTAATGTGTAACTTCACCTAGTTTTGGAATTTTCCATGTGTGTTGGAGATGTGTTTATCTTTCAATAAAACTCACTTTGTGCGAGCAGTGAGTTTAGAATAATAATAATAATAATAATAATGCATCGGTTTTATATAGCGCTTTTCTGGACACTCAAAGACGCTTCACATGTGTCATTATTCATTCACTCCATACACGGTGGTGATAAACTACTAATGTAGCCACAGCTGCCCTGGGGCACACTGACAGAAGCGAGGCAACCAGTATGTGCCATCGGCCCCTCCGACCACCACCAACCATTCACACACACACCAGACTCATTCTAGGCAATGGGGGTGAAGTGTCTTGCCTAAGGACACAATGGTAGTTTGGCACTTTACAGCCGCAGCCGCCTCACTGTGGCTGGTGTTCCCAGAGGTTAAGTGTCTTGCCAAGGACACAACGACAGTAGTCAGTGGGAGTTGATGGTGAAAGTCTTGAGCGGGGCTTCTGGTTCAAAGGCCAACGCTCTACCAACTGAGCTACTGCCGCCCAGAAGTGACTGGGGGAGAACCATGTAAAGCAGCATCTGTTCTACTCTCCTTCAATCCCAGTCACTCCTCACCACTGCAAGTATAAAACTAATTACCTTGTTTGTTGTGTGCTTTTGTCCAGGTACTGTAGTTTAGAACTAGCTTTAACAACAACAACAAAAATGGTGCTTTTTGAATGGCAGGGAGACTGGATGTAGATGTACACAGATGGCGGCGAGACCCCCACAAAGGCCGGACATAAAAGCGAATGGTGGACGGACCAACAAACTCACCCCAGGCAGAGTCTTCTGTTCGTGGAGAGCATTCTGGGCTTTGATGGCCGACTCCCGTGCGCAGTAAGTGAGAAACGCACAACCTGGAACACACAAAAAACATTTTAACACATGCACACGTGTTATTACTGCCATAATAATAACTTGTAACCATGTCCCGAAGCCTGCAATAACTAAAGCGACAGCATGGATCCAAAAAAACGTGACTCCAGTATTAGAATTCCATAGGACCAAGAGAATGGAAAGCAATCATTTTCCCCTCGACTGTCTGAATAAATAGATTTGCCTGTGTTCTATTAATGAGGTTCGTAGGGGTTACCATGCATCATATTTCTGCCACTTTGAAGATGGTTTATTAGCAGCCAGCGCTTTTGGGATCTCATTTCAACAGAAAAATATATTCAGTGGGTGGTGATGTATTGTAATGTCTCTGCATAGGCTGCATCCCGTGTTTTATCATTATTTTTTATTTTATATGCGTGGCGTCTCATTTTACATATTGTTGCAGTTTAATTTCATCCTTGACTTTCTTTGACCTCCAGTTTTTCAATACTTTGTGCCATTTAACTACAATATCACAGAGCCCACTATACAATCTTTCTAATCGCATATGGATGTGTTTCTAAGAATGAGCCTGCATCTTCTCCCATTCATTATGCAATCCAAGTATATCAATTGTCTTTTGTCTTTTGAGTGAGCTATCTTAGAGCCACACACTTTGTCTGACTTGAGCTCGGCCAATACATACATGTTTTATACCAATTATAGCTAACTCAAACAGGCTTCATTTTGAGATCCATTCAGCAACTGCCTCGCAACCAAAAAGCCAATCAGAAGCATTTTTGCTCTGTTCCTACTTATCCAACTACCTGAAGCCATTTTCAGGGATAGAAGACACCGTATTGATATGTTACAAAAGTGTTGAGAAGAATAAAAACACCAGGATCATGTAGTGTGTAAAATCTCAAAATGGTTAATGTGGTTTACTTAATGAAAGTAAATAATGGGATCATGTTTTTGCTCCCATGCACTTTTGAATATAAGAATCCACAAATGTCACGATAAACGCTGTTGCAGGCTTGCCATAATATTTCCGATTCATAAATGATATTTCTGTTTTCAATGGTTGTAACAGGTTGCTCTTAACGGTTTCCAGGAACAGGGGAAAATCTTTTGATGATAAAGGTGGCCAACCCTATCCTGGCCTTATCCATCGGTACACTCCGTTCAATCATCATTTCACTGCATGTAACGTCTGGGTCTAGTCCCCGTGTTAGCGATTACAATTGGTTGAATTTCGACCGACCATTCAGAGAGCGCGGAAGGCGGGTGTTGTAGTTAGTTGTGGGTGGTGTCAAGATTTTGCGTCGAACAGGAAGGTTGTAGTTTGGCAATTGCGAAAAATGCGATAGTAAAGTAATCCGGTCTGGTTCTATCCGGAGCAAGGGTAATGTTTAGCAAATGTAATCGCAAGAAAAATTGTGGCGCTACTCCCCATGGGCTCCATTGGCGGCAAAGGAGATGGCTAAAGCTAGGCTAAATGCTAAATGCTAACAACAGACTCGGGCGCACTACATACGTCACAGTAAACTCAGATCCAATCGTTTCAATCTCCAAAAGGAGTTAACCCCTCCCACCTGTAAACGGAGCTCAACGAAGCGCCTCCAGACCTTAGAACGAAATGTCCTTTGTACTATGGTGTGGTACGACCAGGCTAGGCTACTTTATACCACATGCTTTCTGTAGAAGAGAATCGTCGGAATTCCATCACTAATTTAGTATCAGTACTATACACATCTGTTTGATCACTGCACTAACATCAGCAGATGGTGCTCATATAGCATCAAGTGAAATTGTCCACTATCAAAAAAATAGAAACATGGAAACCCTCCTTTAAAGCACAGTCCAACTTTCACATTATATTCAGCAGAGTTAAATAGAGGCACAAAAGAAAATTCAGGGCTTATCATAAAAAAATGTAAGCACGCATTCGCAGATTAATCGCTACAGTATCAGCACTTCGGAATCCTTGAAATCTACAACAAATAATTGACAACAGTCGTGCTCTATGATAAGCCATCATTCATCTGGTCTTCCTTGCACTGCTCACTAGTGTTCAGTCAAGTCATCGTCCTTTTGAGCAGATGAAGAATGGTCCCACGGGGTCCAGTGTCACGACCTCAAAGATGGCTGACTGTAGCAGCGGTGTCAGAGTGCTCCTGGTCCCGCAACCTTAACCTAATGATTTCCAATGAATAGCCACAAAATCACTCAATCACTCGAGCTTCGGACTAATTCTCTTTCTTTGCCCAGTGTTAGCTCATAAAGAGGGATAGCTGTGAAAAAAAAAAAAAAAAAAAAAAACAAGGCATATTATGTTGTTTTGATTCTCTGTGGTTGTTGGTTTCTTTTCTCCTTGTCAGCAACAAATCAGTAAAAAAAAATGTCAAGGTCGGCCATTTGTAAGTTTACAATACAGAATACTTTCACAGTTATGTTTCTACATTGGTCAAAGCTTCTGGCTACCCTTCCTGATGCTACTCACAGCAGTTGGTTGGAATTCCAGCCCATTCCTCCTTACTGAACTGGTAGAGCAGTTCAGTTCAGCTCAATAGATCAACGTTTCTCAACAAACCCTTCAGAAACAACTATGATATTATTATTTGGCCTTTTAATATATATTAAAAGCCCAAATACTATCATGAAAGCAATATTGTGATGTTTGGCAAATATAGATAACTAGCAACAACAAGTTAATCTAACACTAATGATCTGACTAAAAATAGTTTAACATTTTTGAGTGTAAGTGTATGTAAACAGCATTTTTCACCCAAAGGGCCTATTTTCTTTGGTTTTTCCATCTCTCCTTGCATCTTAAGCATAGACTGTATATATTAACGGACAGAGTCACGCCTATCTCTGCAGTTCTAACTAATGGGCCAATAATGCTCTACTGGAGCTATCCAAAATGGCCGCGAGTGGTCCCGCCCACAAGAAAATTGTGAAAAAACATGTCTGCGCATGCGTCAGCCGGAGCAGCTCCATTCATTTGAACGAGAGACTTCAAAAATTCACAGCAAGTAAACTAGAGTGGACCAAAAAAATCCACCCCCCTCAGCATTGACACACATGTGGAACGGAGCTTTGGGCCAAGAGCCAACTTTTGGACCATCCTGTAAAGACGTTTTCGAGAGTTCTGCCAATGCTATATGTTAGCATTGAATAATTCTATTCCGGGTCCACCCCCATCGGCCCGGGGTGGTATGCAGCATGTCAGCGCACGTCATTTTGGCCCCTTTTGAGCCGAAACCCGCCCCCACTGGTCTTAAGGCATGTTTGTTTGTTTGCTTGAAAGTCTTGATCTGCGATGAAAGAAACACGTTTTTGCATTACAATCACATGGTTTAATATCTGATGCAAAAGGCATTGTGAATAAATGAATAAGCACACAAGTCAGGCAAACAAGAGAGAAACACGGACTACATTTAAATGTGATTCTGCTTTTTAATGTATGGCTTAATAAGAATTTTCAGCCCATCGGCAAAAAAATTTAACAACCCTATAATTGGAATCCAAACACGTACAAATTGCCAGTGTTGCGATGCATACCAAGTGCAGAGTGGGAGCTGGAGGGTGGGGGTGTATGATGAAATTGTCTGAAACGCAACAAAAAGCCACTGACGCAGCATTGGGGGAAACCTCGTCGGTGGGAGAGGATCTTCAGCATCATAAGAGGGAAACTAAAGGAGATTTCTCACACAATGATTTTAGCTCCAGGGCTAAAGCCACAAACTGTCCCATATGTGTCCCTGTGCGTCTGCCGTCTTCACTGTAGTGGATTTATGCACTCTGTAAGCACTTGTGCGCAGGGAAAGTGGACCAATTACCCTCAGTCACCATTGTGAATACACTTGCAATTAAACACCACAGTGAAGAGAAAAGTGCCCGGGTAAGACAGGAAGAGAAAGGGGGGAACTAAACTGAATTATAAATGGAAGTAATGGATATTGTATTACAAACTCACATCTCAATCACTTTTTGGTTACATTACAAGTAATCTCTCTGCCATGTCCTAATCTAATGCAGATCTATACTCTGGTTATGATATTTCGCGGACATTAAATATACAGGGCCCCATCGTCTTCCATGTATTGACTGTTGGGTAATATTTTGTTTTACCTTCCAATTGTCCAGATTTGTAGTAGCTGTTAATCTTTTATAATGCTATGACATATTTACTCAGTATAAAATCACTAGCAAAATGAATAAATATCATTATAGACTAAAAAATACATTTTGGCTTGAAACAAGTCCTTTTGTTCATGAAAATACTTTGAATTACAGAGTGCTTCTACCTTTGTCTTCCTACTTTTCACATCTATCCATGCCGTAACCTTGATGGGCGCCTGTAATTTGTCAATGTAAGAACTTATGTCAACCCTCAAAACACTGTTCTGAATATGATTACAATAGAGTTTTGCAAATGTGTGTTATCTGTCATCTCCTTTGGGAAGAATGTCGTTCTAATCCATCGATCTTGGCACAGTGGTTAGCTCTGGCTTCACAGTGAGAAGGTCCTGCATGGGTTGAATGAATGAACAACAACAGAGAACAACGAAACAAAACAACAACAAAACAGAAAAAGAAACAATACATGATAATATACAAATATACCGTATGTTTTGTTTAATTAAGAAAAATCCATCTCGACTAAGGATCAAGCAGCAGTTGAAGCAGGGCCTATCTGAGTAGAGTTTGCATGTTCTCTGCATTTATTTTCCGGTGGCTTCAGTTTCCCCCATTAATAAAAACATTCTTGGGTTTCATTAAACTGGCATGTAGGGGCGAATGAGCAGAGGTGGACAACTCAGTTTTGCTCCCATTGAAAACCATGTAAACCTTGTTTGTTTTGGAGTCAAAGGGCTCTCCTCCTGTGCGGTGTACCGTTGTTGGAACAGTCTTAATCGGCGACACTCAATCTTAAGGGAGCACTAAAAAATATTTATCAAAAGAGTCTTGATTTTGGGCATTTTTGGGGGGAAAAAAACAGAAGAAATTGCGTTTCATTGGGGTGGCCTGCAGGGGACGCTTATCTGGGAAAGCCTTGATCCACCTCGCCCGCCTCATTCCAGTGATTTTTTTTCTTTATGAGAGCACAGTTGGAACATGAACAAACTCTTGTCTTTCTCTCTATTTGTGCGGTTGCTACAAGCGTACACCGCACAAAAAGATGGCATTTTGACAGGGCTTCTTCTTCTACTATATCTCCGATGATACGTCACAATCTGTCCTACGTTTGTTATTCGTGCCACTGCCCTGACGTCATATGAAAGCCAAGAATAGGTAAAATCCTCAAGCTCTCGAGCTCCGGCAGGAAAACATTTCTTCACACTTCTTCAGCCCTGATCACGCCAAGCATCAATATCAGCAGATAGGTTCCCAGGCACTATACTGGAAACCACTTCTCAAGACTTCCTAGTACTTACAAGTAATCAATTAATTATGCCTAAAGCTTAACCAGAAAGCATGCAGACAAAAAGAATCTGTCTGCATCATTTCTCAGGGCTCTATTTGGCTCCTGGGACATTGTTTTGACACCCCAGTAATAGACTCTTCTGAATATATACTTAACAAGTCACAGCACTCCTAAAGACTGCGGTGTTTTTCCAAATACATCACTTTTTCACTTCCACTTCCAGTCCCCTTTGCTCCATGCACGTGTCCCATGGGAGTCGAACTACCCACAAAGCAATGAAAACGTGTGAACCCGCTCCTAAAGTGGCATTTCCTCAGCCAGAAAGTGTGAAGGTAGCAGAACCCAGGCCTGGCACGGCTCTCACGTCATTTGCACTTGGTGGAAAATGCTATCACTGAAGTTAAAGTCTACTTGCTTATTTCGTTTACTGCTGTGCTGGTCTCAGAGGGGACCAATCGGCTTTTGGGGGTCAGAAGCGAAAGCACACATCATCTGCGCTGATACAATGTGATTATGGCCTGAACCTCTGCCAGGCCGAGACCAAGAGCGCTACCGTAGAAAAGGACAGAGTGGCAAATCATTTTGGGCTTTTAACTCCTGTAATCACACTCTAAGGAAATGCCCTTTATTGATCATAATAATATTACCAAAAAACATGGCATGCTTAACCCAATGGTTTTTTGCTGACTTGGGTCCTGAAATGTTAACAATAAAGTTGGAAATTAACACATGTTGTTTGTTGCAACATGTACTGTAGAGCCTTATAAAATCAAATGCAAACTGTTTTGATCTGATTAAATTAAAAAAATCATGCATATGAAAACTGGTGATAGAATTTTGAGAGCTAGAAACAAGATTTCATTGTTCCATGTTTGTGTTTTTAAAGATAGATGCTTTAAGAGAGACGTGAGGACAATATTTCCCCCTCTCACAGTCGAACCTGGAGTTATTTTGAGCCACATGCATACAAATGTTCAGTGCTAAACGCTATATTTTCAAAGTAATTTTAAGAAAAACATATCGCCTCCAACCTTTAATTCTGTCTTTATATTATTGGAACACATGTTATCTTTCGCATACTTTTAAGAACAAGCCCTGTGAGTTACTATTTGACTTTGGAATGAGAGTTGATTAGAATAGTCCTCTCTTTTTCACTTTACTGTCTGAAAAAGCTGATTTTTTGATGGAACCAAAAAAACCAATTGGAAGGACTGCAAATACACACTTGAAAAGTTGTGCATCATAACTTTAAGAAATTCACAAATTAGGAATTTGAAAGATCCTTATTAAGGGCATGAATTGTAAAATAATGCTTTATGTTTGTTATTTTATTCCATACAACCCAGATAATCCATTCCAATAATGACAGTGACGTTTGGAAGATGTCCTAAAAGGTGTAATGAAGACAATGAGTTGAAATTGGCACGACTTACTGAAATGCTCTCACTCATTGTTCTGACAACAATATTTTCTCTGCCCACACTTAATGGGCTTGTAATGAGCACAGTAATATAAGCACTAGCCTAGCGTAACCTGTAAACCTTAATTAAGCCAGACAGCACCTTCGAGGGGCGCTGTGTGCACTCACCATCTCCTAATCCCGGGGCTGAGACTGTTCTTCCGTCCGTTTTTCATCAGTCAATCTATGCGCTCATCTGCTCTCCTAATCCTCCTCCATTTCTCCTTTCACTCCTCCTTCCCTCAGCCTCTCACCTTGAGCAATGCTTGTGTGTGAGTGTGTGTGTGTGTGTGTGTGTGTGTGTGTGTGTGCACTTGTTTTCAACTCCTGGTGGGTTCCATAACCTGAGATTCCACTCACGTCATGGGGACTGGTTTTACGTGGTGGGGCCCGAACACCGGACCCCACTGGTCCAAGCTTAATAATCAATGGGTAATGCTTTTCTAACGGTCCTTATGCAGTCTCTGTAAAAATATGGAAAGGACCCCTGGAGGTTTACTTTCCTGAAAAAAGTGTGTTATGTGTCGGAACCCTGGTGGTGAGTTGCGGGATATCAAGGAGGGGCACACTGGGGCAATTTCAGTCCAGCAGGCTGGAGCCAATCATGGAGCAGCACAACAGAGGAAATCAGGTGTCAGGCTAGAAAAAGGTGCAAGTGTGTGGTTCATTAGGCTGCAAGAAATCATGGAGGAGCACACTGAAGCGCACGCTTACAAACCACTGGTAAGTGCTGACTACAAGTCATGACTTCAAATTGTTATATAGAATGATTACTTTTAACAGATTCTAATTTAAATGTTTGAAAAACGGCTTTTGTAACTAAAAATAAAAACATAAAAAAAATTATCACAAACAGCTATGAAATATATCAGAGATACAATAATGGACTCACAAAATAAGCAGCAGATTTAAAAGAATGGAATCTAGAAATATGTTAGGTCTAAAAAGAATTGCACAGCTTTTAGCACTAATATTTGGGTTTCAAAAAACATATAATATTCAAAACTTACTCACTAATGGTGTTTAAAAACGTTTAACTGTGCCATAACACAATGTTCAAATGGCAAATTTCGCAAATTTAACGGAATAACTACTATGGAAAGCCAAAAATCCTAATGGTGCGTTCAGACCAAACGCGATTTCTGCGGCCAAAGCGGCGGGTCTACATTGACACAACATGGGGGACGCGCGCCAAGGAGCGGCGAGAGATCACGCGGAGCGATTCGCGCGGCCAGAGCGGCGCGAATTCGAGCGTTTCGCGCGATTCGCGCGGCGTGTTTTGAGATGTCAAGCGTTTTGACGCGCGTTTCGCGCGATTCGTGCCTCCAACGCGGCCGCCGCTAGAGTTGAACAATGTTGAACTTTTTGGGAGAATTCGCGTGTGCCGACCAATCAGGAGCTTTCTCCTCCAGTGACGTAGTGACGCATTTCACTACCGGAAAAACACTGGTAGATGACAGCTATGGAGGACACGTCAATTGCTCAGGTCGGTGCTCATTCTGAGCTATATAACACTGCGGACCACAGCTACCGGGACCGAAATAAAAAGAAGCTTGCTTGGAGGAGGGTTAGCGAGGTGGTTGGTGTCTCGGGTAAGTTATTTTAACTTTTCAATGTTGTAAATATTTCCCCGCGAAAAAAACTACTACTTTCCTGCTTACGAGTTGATGTGTTTATTCAGTGGAAGTTTGCAAAAAGCGGTGGAAGAATCTGAGGGACACATATGAGGTGCTGAAGGTCGGTGTCATGCAGCAAACGGAGACCTCGAACAGTTGGAAAAAATACATTTCTTTCCTTTCTATTACCCACATTTTGCTGACTTTTACATTTATATTGCTTTCTGTGTATGCATTTCTTTTAATGCTTTCTTAACATCATGGCCAGGTGAAAATAGGCATTGGCTATTTTCAAACCAGGATAGATCTTGATCATGTGTTGTGTTAAATTTCACTTTTCCCTTTTATATGAACAAATCATTTAAATGTACATAATAATGTACATTATTATGTACATATAAATGTCATAAGCGCAATGTACACATGATATGAAATAATTGTATTTCTTGTTTTCTTCTGGCGCAGATACTGCCACCACCACACAAGGTGAGACATCTTGGCCTGAGCTGCCTGCTGCTGCTGCTGCTGCTGCTTCCTCAGCCGGTTCTTCTTCTGTGAGGGCTGGACCTTCCCCTGCTTCTGCACCTACAGGTGTGGCTTTTTTTAATCATTGTTTTATTTTTATTCTTATTACAGGACTGTTCATATAAACAAAATGTTACTGCATAATATGCCAAAATTACCCAAGGGCTGTTACATCAGTGTAGACGACAAATTTACAGAGAAACGACAAGATGTCAAGGCACTACAGGTGGAAAGAAGCTTTGGTCTGATACAACACATCTTCCCTCTTTCTTTGATAAAAACATACTACTGAAATACCTTATGCTATAAAAGTACTGAACAAATACATGCAATGGTTGCCACAAGATGGCAGCTATCCTGTTTAATGCAGACAATAGAGTATTACTTTTTTACAGCCAATTTCAAATTTCATTGCGAAATACACTTCAGAGATATTAGTTTGTAACTGTCGAAATTTGTGCATGTGTGAGTAATTTCATTGATAACTGCAATGTTCAAGTTAATTGTAACAAACACACAACTTAAAAGTGTTTTACATGTGTTTAACTATGTCTACACACTCTGGCTTTAATACAGATATTATTTGCTCTCTTCATTTTGCTTTTTTGAAATACATGTTCCACTTTTTAACACTGTGATTGCCCTGTGTTCTTTGTTGGCGGCTCTACGGACGTGGGCCTCTTCCGAGCCCTCTTCCTTGGTGGGCCTTCAGAGTGGGAGCGGGAGCTGCTGGAGACTCTACGGACCAAAGCAGCCGGACCGCCCGACTACTCAGAAGAACATCAGTTCCTGCTCTCTCTCTTTCCTCTCCTGCAAAGGGTGGCACCAGAGTCAAAAGAATTTGTGAAATTCAAAATGTACCAACTTTTATATGAAAGCAGCACCGTTCTGCTTAATTTGGAACCATTGGCCAGTACAGTTTTTTTTACCTAAGGTAACACCTTTTGCAGGGGAGGAAACAGACATGTGTCCCTTTCCTCTTCCACCGCACCTCCTCCAAGCAAGCTCCTTTTCATTTGTTTATATGTACATTTCATTTATTTTTCATTGTTTGTTCCTTTTTTTATAAAGAAAATATTTTTCAAACCTCATGTGTTCTACTTCAAGCCAACCATTACTACCTTTCATATAATATTGACAGAAAATGCTATTCTATATTTGTACATTTACTTTTATAAGAGCTGACTGGGTTTTATAGAAGATGGAATAACAAACACTTAAAGAGCGATACAGTAGTTGACAGTATTTTTTATTCATTTCACCTTTTACTGTTTTAACAACCTTGTAATTATGGAAAAGCTTGAATGTGCATATGATTAACCTGAAGTTGGAGTGGAGTCGCAGTGGAGTCTGGCAGTCATTACCTAGAAACAGAAGGTATACAGGTGAATAGAATAGTGCAAATCAATATGGGTTTGGACTATGGCCAGATGTGGGTCAGTCTTGTGGTGGACATGACTACTCTGTGGGCTGCCACGGCAGTGCTCCCTCCTCACTGAAGTGGGCCATGAACACTTTCCTTATGTCCACTGCTGGCTTCCAGGCGGCCATCCGCTGCACGCCTGGAAGTGGTTCTTCACCGGCAGCAGCTCCCCTCGGTGCAGGAACCTGCCCATCTCCAGCCATCCTCATCCTCATCCTGGAGATGGGCAGGGCGCATTAAATTGCAGCGCAGTGAAAAGGCCTCATCTGCCACGAACACATGGGGCTGGGGTCCTCTGTGGTCAGCTCCAGGTATGCACTGGTCAGGAGGCAGGTCGAGTGTGCCCTCGCGCAGAGCCTCACCAAAGGCAGAGTTGGACACGATGCCTCCATCGCTGGATCTGCCGTACCCTCCCACATCAATCACCCTGAACCTGTACTGGGCATCCACTACAGCCAGGAGCACAAGGGAATGGTGCCCCTTATAATTAAAAAACATGGACCCAGAGTTGGGGGGTGCCTTCACAGCCACATGCTTCCCATCAATGGCCCCACAGCACAGAGGGAAGTTCCATCGGACCTCCACTCCTCTGCTCCAGGCACAGCCATGAACTCCTCCACGAGGCAGTCCCAGATGGCTGCCACCACATCTGGGATGAGCATGGAGACGGTGGATATGCCCGCTCTGAAGCTCCCCGCAATGGTCCTGTAGGAGTCCCCAGTGGCAAGAAACCTGCAATTACAAAATGATATGAACATATTTATCACAATTACATTCATAAAAATCACGTGACAAAACTTGTGTAGCATAAAATACGTTAAACTAGTAGACAGTAAACATCATAGACAGTAATCATAGACACCATATTGTTGCATAATACTGTTTTCTGAGCAATTACATTGTGGATTGTGATTGAAAAATGACACACTTTGTAAGTTTTTAGGAATTCTGAATGGGGTAAAAAACACTAACCGCAGACAGATGGACAGGCGCTCTTCAGCTGGAATAGAGCGCCTGTAGTTGGAGTCCTGGTAGGAGATCCTAGCGCCAATGCGGGTCAGTAGGTCGTCAAACTGGGCCAGGGAGAGACGAAAGTACCGCTGAAAGCGACCCTCATCCGAGCGCAGCTCCCGGAGCAAATGGTGAAACTCACCAAACTCCAACCGTCTACGGACTATCTGATGAATCCAGACACGTCGTCGATTCGCCCTTTGACGACGTGTCTGGCTTTATTTATCAGATAAAGCAACTCCTTCGCTGACATCCATTTTGGGAAGCTACAGGCAAAAGAGACAAGCCCCGCCCCTAAACGCTCTCAACGCTCTGTGACAGCGGCTGCCCTCTAGTGTCCTGGCCGCGCGGCCAACTTTCTCTGTGACAGCGGCTGCCACAATTTGTCACAAGCGGCTCAAGCCGCGCGATAGACGCGATTTGGCCGCAGAAATCGCGTTTGGTCTGAACGCACCATAAAGCAGTAGCTTTGCTCTGATTCAGAGCCAGAGCAGCGAAGGAGGGGGCCGTTTCCCTGACAACGGCAGCAAGATAGAGATGTGCACACACAGGCAAAAAGATACAGAAGAATAACTTTCAAGATTACTTTTTAAAGCGAATATAACTGATGTTGTTCTTTAAACTTTTGTCATCCAAGTCTAGAAGTGATCACTTTCCACACTAGTAACAAAAGGCACTCTTGTCTTTAACGTACGCTTCTATTTTATCGAGGTAGCAAACTAGTTTAAACTCAAAATCTCTTTCTAAAAAACAAAAACAACCTGTTGGATACAACCCTCTCATAGCTTAACTGTAGATATAACTCGGCAAAAAATGTAAATAACTCACGAAAGCTCTCATAGCTCAACTTTAGATAAAACTCTGCATTCTCCGGTGAACTCTGTTCACTCCAAAAACAAAAACTCCCTTTTTCTGTATGTAATTTAAACCGTGATTACTGATATATAACAGATGTTATTGCTTCAACTTTTGTCACTCATTAAACTTGAAATTGGCCAATTTCAAGACTTTTGCAACAAAGGTCTCTGCACTCGTTTTTCCTCCCTTTTTATTTATTTTTTATTTTTACACCATGGTTTCTCTCAAAGGGACTTTAACCCTGAAGCTTCTTCTCAAAGGGACTTTAACCCCGAGACTTCTCTCAAAGGGACTTTAACCCCGAGACTTTCTCAAAGGGACTTTAACCCCGAAAACGTTTTCTCAAAGGGACTCAAACCCTGAAGCTTCTTCTCAAAGGGACTCTAACCCCGAGACTTCTTCTCAAATACAATTTAGAGAGTTTGACAGACCCCAAAAACAGACCAAAATTTAGCTAATATCCAATTATGCAGACTTTACATATAAAAAGGTGTCTGCTTACCTTATTCTTGTCAAACCGGTTCCAAGGACTGTCCGAGAGGTCTGCCAACCTCTTTTCCGCGTCGGAATATTCAATTTAAAAAACAAAAGTGACAGAAGCGACAAGAAGCATCCAGGAACAGCTCTTCCAGCCTGCTGGAATCTCCGCTCCCAGACACAGCATGCCGATCTCTCACGCAGAGGAAAAGAAACAGAGCAAACTCCCTCAAAACAATCCAGAGAATGGCACACACTGAGCCGCGCATTCTCCACCAAATCTGTCAGGGTTTAGCAGAGAGAGACGGATCGTGGTGTGCCAAACTCTGGAAGTTTATTTATGTTTCTCTCAAGTTCCACTGGTTTACTCTGTTTCTTTTCCTCAGACAGAATAAAGGCAGTACACAGTTTATATAGTCATTGTCACGTCACACATCGAAAGACATACGTGTCACAAAGAGACAGTCACATCATAGTCATAACATGGAGTCATTGTAGAGTCCTGCACGTAGGCCATATTGCTATCTAATACTAACAACTCCACTATAAAAGTAACTAGTTACCAGTAAAAGTAACTATTGCGTTACTTTTTCGTTTTGTTCTGGAACATAATGTGCACTCGACGTGCGCAGTTTTACCTTTAACAGTGCCAATATTTCCATCTAGAAAAGTCTGTTTTGCTGCTGAAGTCCTGTTCACTCTTCATCTGTCTCTGTGCTGTAAAGCCCGCCACTGTGAATGTGGAAACACCGGTGAAGCACTGACTTCAGCCCAATCAGATGAACATATATATCATATAAATCAACTGGACCTAGAGAGCGGCTTATTTGTTTGGCTACAACAGAATACGTTTCATGCATTGTTTGTTCATACAAAACGCAAAACTAAGAGTTATGGGTCTTACCTTATAAATGACCTGCACAGACCACTTCAGTTCAGACCAGTTCTGTGTTTAAGTCCAGATAATAGTTTGAGCGTAGATATGTAATCCTCCATTTGGAAATGAGTTTTAAAAAGTAAAACAAAACGCGTGTGTCCTCCGTAAACTACTCTGTTTTGCTAGGTGCAGCCGGGTGCATCCGATTTCTAAAATCAACCGTCTTACACTTCACCTCTCTTTCTTATCATTCCTTTAGTAATTGAAAAATGACCGTAAGTGCATTTTAAATTATCTTAAATATGTTATATGTATGTTAGCCAAACCTGTTGCTGCCCGTAGCAGATAAACCAGGAAAAGAAAGGAGCTTTCTGATGGAATTGTATG